CTGCGAGTCCTTCGTCCGGGTGCAGCAGAGGAACACTTTGAGCCGCCGCGACCAGCTCGTGGCCTGACCCTCCTCTAACCGGTGCCTGCAAGGCGGAGAGTGTGTGTGAGGCCACGGGGCTGGCCCGGCGGACCCGGGGCCCAGACATTAGGAACACAGGGTGGCCTGGGCCCAGGACCCCCCAGAAGGGCTCCCTGACAGCCAAAGCCGGGTGGCCAGTGGCCTGGCTGTCCCCTGGGGGGACTCCCGCTGGCCCCCGGTCCAGGCAGACTGAACGCCGCCTGCCTGGGGGGCTTCGGAGCTGGGAGCCCCAACCTGTCCCCCAGAGCTGCTTCCCCTCCAAAGGATTTCAGCCCGGCCGGCGTGGCTCAGTGGCTGAAGGTCGACCTATGAACCAGGAGGTCACGGTTTAGTTCCCAGTCAGGGCACATGCCCGGGTTGTGGACTCAATCCCCACTTGGGGGCATGTGGGAGGCAGCTGATCTGATGACTCTCATCATTGATGTTTCTATCTCTCCTTCTCCCTTCTTCTCTGAAATCAATAAAAGTATATTTTTTAAAATTTAATTTAATTTATAAAAGGGTTTCGGATACATTCTCTGTTCTTGGGAGATGTCTAAGGGCTGAATGAGGCCCTTGGATGTGTTACAGCAGAGGAGAGCGGGCCAGTCTCCCTGCACGGCTGGCCTGGGCCACACCGCCCCCCTCGCGCCCCCGCAAGCCCCCAGGTCTGGCCGCTCAGATGGGGAGGCAGACATCCAGAAGCCTGCATCCGAAGGCAGAGCGACGGCCAGTTACCCACGGGGGCCCTTCTAGTGCTGGGTGCCCGGAAGTTGGTCTGTTTTGAGCATAAAGATAACAGATCCGATACTAAAAACGTGCATCTCCAGCAAGAAGGGACTGGCTGCTTTTGTGCCATGTGCCCTAATGCTGGCCCCGTCAGAGCCCGCTGGGAGGTGGCCCAGCGGGAAAGGCATGGGCCCTGAACGCATGAAGGCACGTAGCCGAGGTCAGGAGCGACCGGGGCCCCCCTTCCCGGGCCTCTTGGCTCCGCTCCCTGCTCCCAACCCTGGTCCCACAGGCCAGGGGAAGCCTCGGCCCTCCAGGGGTGGGGAAGGGTGTGCGGAGCTGCTGGCTCCGGGACCTGCCAGCCCGACGGGACTTGGGCAGGCTTACA